TATGTCATTATGAGGTCATTGATGCGCACTGCTAATGAGTCCAATACTAGGGTGAAACAGACGTTCAGTGCTTCTGGATTTCTAACAGTGATCAAACATTGATGGATCCATGATTTGAATAAAAATCTAGATGACCTAAGCTTACCTTAGAAATACAAATGGATGTAAACATAAAAATGACATGCGTAATTCAAGAAGCTTGTTATTTTAGTCAGTAAATACTATGCAATTCAGAAACTACAACCAACGGATAACCCAGATTCAGACTATCCATGATTATCATCCTCCAGCAATTTATTCAACAGTTTAGAAGAGGAATAAACAGTGGAGTTTATTTATTGCTGCTACAAATAATGACAATAACGTAGGATGTATATGAATATGTATACTCTTGCGCAGCTCTGAGGATCAGCCACAGAAGGCATCATTCTAAGAAGCATTACATGAGTAGATAATAATCACCAGTTTCAACATTCAGTCTTGCACACAAATCTTTATTATCCATTGGTATAGAACAGATAGATAGTGGCTAAAAGAGGAATTCAGTATGAGATTTTCGAACAATCTGGGACTCGTTAGCTGAATATAGCAACACCAAAGAGCTCATGTCCACCCTCGGGACCAAAACAAGAACCGTTCACTTGGAAAGCACTGAGTAATCCACATAGCCATTGAGTTTAAACAGCCACCAACTTGTGCAAAGGATATGAGATTTAGTTCACCTTGAAATGGCTTGCATTGTCCCGTTGTGCGAATTCAATTAACAGAGGGTTAATGATATTCCAACTAAAAAAGTTAGACGTGATAAAAACCTAGTAATAAAAACGGTAATTTATATATAGTTTTTACACGTGTGTAAAGCCACTGTCTAGGAGGTCCTACTCACCGCCTCCTTGTAGTCGAGGTATTGTTGACGAAACCTCGAGAACGAAAATCGAGTGTCCGTTACTTTAACCGGGTTAATGGAAACGTAGTATTCACCTAAGCTGTTGCGAAACCCGGATTCCAAACTAATAGTTCACGTCGGCTTCAGGATCTTGAGTAAACAAATAGTGTATGAACCTCTACTTGATCGCCGGCTGCCATGGGACTGTGACTCCTGATATTGCTCCACTCCCTTGTGGATTTGACCTGCAGGTCAGAGGTCCAGGGAGTACCCTCGTAAGTAAACCGCCTGATTAAGTATGGGTATCTGAGCGCTATTTCAGCTGTCTTCAATTCAATAATTTGTGTTGCTCAAAAGTATTCGGGCCACCCTTTGTACAAATGTTTGAGTTTAGGTAGATAAATACTTCAAATCGTGAACTAACTGATTTCGTGACATTATTTTCGTAATTACTCACCTGCCTAAGAAGACAATTTTGTATTTTAGCAAGTAAAGTTTAAACATCTTAGAGTCATAACAACCAACTATATTTGTGAAATCTGTTATTAGTCATTTACAAATCGATAATTACGTATGCACGTTTAAAACAGTTTGTCCTTTTGATAAATGTAGACAAAATGCAATCATAAACTTCGTCTTCTCGTTTGATTATGTGACTCGTAAGTGTTTGGTAAACATTTCTATTCAACTAAAAGCTCACATTAGAACAAAACATAAAAGGTATATTTTTGTAAAACAGATGTTCATCAGGTTAAAGTCTAATTTACACTAATATTTATATGCTTATCGAATCAACCGACGCCGTTTATGATTCAGTACTAAGATTGAAATGAGTTGCATACTTCCGTACTTACTCCTATTACCCCCAATGGAGCATCAGCCACCGACCAACATTCTCCAACCCACTCTGTCCTGCGCCTTTATATCTAGTTCTATCCAATCGTTCGTCGATTTTCTCATGTCTGTCTCCATTTCTCTGAGTAATATGTTTTTTGGTCTTCCTCTTTTCCTTTGACTTTGAGGGTTTCGAGTGAGAGCTTGTCATGTGACGAAGTTGGGTGCTTTCCTCAATATGTGTCCGATCCACTTGCAGCGCTTCTTGCTAATTTCTTACTCCTCCAAAATCTGGTTTGTTCTCTCGCACAGTAGGTTGTTGGGTGATAGTAGCTGGTCAATGGATCCGAAGCATTTCGCGTAGATAACTGTTAATGAACACCTGGAGCTTGCGTTTGATGTTCGTGGTTCTTCAAGTTTCCGCTCCATACAATGGAATTGTCCTGAAGTTTATATTGAAAATTCTGACTTCGGTGTTGATTGATAGTTGTTTTTGGTTCCAAATGTTCTTCAATTGTAGAAATGCTGACCTTGCTTTGCCAATCCGCGAATATTTATATGCATGTATGATAATAAGTCAATTGAAGAAAACATATAGTCACATCTAACTCTACTTTGTCTACTGTGACAGTTAAAACTCAACCTCTTCAAGTGAACTACCACATGCCTTCATCGTTTCGTTACGGGGTTCAGTCTGGTCTCATACATAATGCTGTAGCTACAGAAACTCAAAATTAAAACTAGCCTATGTTTTCTGAAGTCTATGATGCCACTATCCCTTGATTTAACAAATAATTTTGTTCATTATCATTTTTCATATTCGTTTTTTTCTTTACTCTCGTTTATATATGCTTCACTGTCTAATTATTTTAACATCTTTCACCACTTAGATTTAATAACTTTTAGTGACCATGATTCTTATATCTTTGTTTTCCAGGCTTTGTCCTACATCCTATTTGGAAACATTGATTCAAGCTTTTATTACTTCTATCACTACTAGTACACTTGTTATTTCACTATCGATTTCCACTTTTCGCTTATTATGCTTACTTATGCAACCCTTTTCAATTTTATTACTTTAATTAGAAGAGTCATGACGTCTCATGACGAAAGCTGAGTTTCTTCGGAAGTCACGAGGACGATACCTCTTCTCACAACCAGAGCAAAAACAAATACAGGTACATGGAATGTTCGCAGATTTTGGCAGGCCATGAGAGTTATCCAAGCTGCTGTAGAAATAAAAAGATACAAACTAGATATGTTTGGAATCAGTGAAACACATTGAACGCAGATCTGACAACAAAAACTAGATTCAGCAGAGTTGCCTTTATACTCCAGCCATCAAGAAGAAAATGATCCACATACACAACGAGTCCCACTGATCCTATCCAAACAAGCACAATAAGCACTTAGATGATGGAAAATGCATGGAAATAGGATCAGATCATCAAAGCATCGTTCAAAACAAATAAACAGAGGATTACAGTAGATGTCGTCCAGTGCTATGTGCCCATCAACGATAACAATGAAGACGATAAAGACCAATTCTATGGGAGGCTGCAGTCAATCGTAGAGAAATGCCTAACAAAGGATTTGACTATTCTGATGGGAGACATAAATGCCAAAGTTGGAATGGACAACACTGAATAAGAAGACATCACGGTACGAAATGTACTAGGTGAAAGGGATGTAAACATTTAGAAATTCGCAAAGCAGTGTCTTCAACAGAATAGTTATAGGCAGGTTACAGTGAACGACACTACGGAGAACCGAATCCATTGCATCTGCATCAATAAAAAATCTAGACGTTCAGATCATGAACGACGTGAGAACCAAGAGAGGAGCAGATTTAGCTTTAGATCGCCGCTCGCTAGCAGCCAAGATGAGATTGAAACTAAAGAAGCACTCGACAATTGATCATACAGAATTAGAAAAGTAAATTACAGCCTTTCTTCTGAATACTGGTTAACTGAACAAATTCAACACGTTACAGGTCTTTCATGATCTACTGAATGACGGGGAAACTGGAAAGTGATCAGGGAATCAATGATAAATTCTAACTGATAATACTAATATATGTTTGTTCGACTTTACATCTAGTTGTTTTACGAGTAAAAATGAACGTTTTTTATGACTTAAAAGTTCCTCAAATGTTTCTTGATTTATCTCCTATTTAAGGTCATTGGCAAATGTTACTATTCAGTTGTCTACATGTTACACACCACCTTTGAACAATAAACTAAAAACTTCGTTATTTCTTGTTAATCATGTGTTAATAACATTTTTTCTCTTATGATGCAGTGAGATTTAAAGTGCATCTATGACTGATATAATAATAAAAGTAATTACCACTTTTCGTTTGTTGATCAATGAAGTCAAAACGTATCCACATTTAGCTTTTATTCATACTGAAACGTTATCCAAATAATCTGAGTTTCACTTTTAGGACTCTAACCATTAACCCCGCAGGGCCAACAGATGCCAGTCCTGTACAGCTTTCTTCCATACCACGTTAGACACTGACCAGCTCTCCAATCTTTCTAGCCAGTCCCAGCCTTGGCAAATAATGCGTACTGTGGAACTCGCCAAGACGACATTCGTAGTACATGTACAAGAAACTGAAGTCGGCATTTCAAGATATTGACATATTGTCCAACTTGTTTATTACTAACATGGTGTTCCCACTGAATATCAGTAACCCTTCGGAGACAATGGTGATTGGACACAGAAAGCCTTCTAATATCTTCAACTCGGAAAGATCAGGTTTCAAAAAAATAGAGCTAAACTGCTCTCATCGATGCATTGTACACCTGACCTTTTACTCTCAAAATAACATCACGAAGGGATCAAAAATAGCCCAGATTGGCATTAGCCGCTTAGCCTTTTACTGCATGTGAATCAATCTCATCACTCATGCCATCACTAGAACCTAAACAGCTAACCAGGTACATGAGCTTTTCGACTACTTTTATCTGTTCATTATCAGGAGTAACGGCAGGTTCAGGGTCCTGACAGTTTTGTAAAAATAATGCTCACTTATATGTTTTGTCCTAATTTAAGCTTTTATTTGAATAGAATTGTTCACCATACACTTACGAGTTACATAATCAAACGAGAAGACGAAGTTTATAATTGCATTTTGTTTTACATTTATCAAAATGACGAATTGTTTTAAACGTGCCTAAGTAATTGTCGATTTGTAAATGACTAATAACAGATTTCACAAATATAATTGATTGATATGAATTCAAGATGTTTGAACTTGAATTGTTAAGAAACAATCCAGTTGAAATATATATTGTATATAATCAGTGTTTGTAATTATGACATTGAAATAATATATCTTATAATCGACCAGATATACATGAGGTGTAAAGCGAAACCATCGTTTTGTTGTTGATTTCAAATGGTATTCATTGTGTAAACGACGCTGATAGTGATGGAAATGTGATCAGAATGATTGGTTTATAATTATGGTTTATCATTAACAAGAAAATTCCATTTCCCATAAAACAAAAAAGAAATCCTTATTCTACATCTATCTAGTTAAGCACATTGTAGAATGAATAAATTTAGATGTGAAAAAAGAAACAATTTATATTCTTGTCAAGAATTACAATACACTATTTCTATCATGGATTTACATATCCAGAAAGTAAATATAATTAAAAAAAACGCTGTTAGTTTTCATTTTGATCAATGAAAACTCGGTGGTCAGTGATAGAGGAAGCTAGTTCAACGAATAATAAATAATAACAGTAATTTTTATTGTGATAGTATGCAAAAATGAACAATTGGCTAAATAATCTTTTCATCACACAAAACGTTGCACGCATTGTTACAGGGAATTAAAAGCAACTAGACCATACATAGTGTGGTGACCAAAATAATAATAAAAAACCCTCAACAAATAAGCAAGAAACAAGCTATTATCATTTTTCAACCAAAAAAAAAATTATTAAGAATTGAAATATACAACAAATAATATACCTTGGTCTAATAATCTTTGGAGTAACATGAAAATTCCAATTCTCCAAAACAACAATAATAATAATAATGTGGTAATAATCTTAGTCATGCAAGTTTGTTTGATTTATACATTGATCAAACTACTGAGTAGATGAACACATTTGACACAAGTGAATATATCCATGCAATCCACATTGCTAGTACGCATAAGCTGATGATATACAAACACACACACACACACAAGTATTAGAATAATATTAAAACACTATTTGGAATTTTTACACTATGAACAATGTGTGCAAAAGAAAATAACAAAGGCAACTTGGTTAAACTGAAAATGATTTGTATGCAAAAGAAAAAGGAAAAAAAAATAATTTGATAAAGGGGCATTTCAAGTTGACGACATGAAACTAATCAGTATGAATAACAATACAATAAAGACATAATACTAATGATAATAATGGTATAACGAGAAAATAAAAGACAAAACAAAAGCCATATTTAAGTTGTATAAATCAATAAATGTGCAGAAAATCAAAGAAGAAGATAAATAAACAGAAAACCAAATCACTAAGAATTATTAATTCTTGCCATAAAACGTTTTCTCGCTTTGGATAACATTGCTTTACGTCTGGTAGCAAACGATGAATTTCTATCACTTCCGGCTAATTCTTCTTCTTCTTCTTCACCTCTTTCGTCAACATCTGTCCTATTCAAAGGTTCCGTTAATAAATAAGGAGAATTGGATGTAACTTGATAGGTTCCTTCAGTTTCTCGATTTGTATTGGTCATTGCATTGAATGAATTCTGCTGATAAGCAGATAAAAAGCATTTAGTAATAGGGATTTATTTACAAGACATTTTAAAAAACTAATGATGTTATAAGTAAAATATACACGATATTGAAGACGGAATAATCGTTTGAAATTAATGTTATTCATCAATCTTAACCTCATGAAGGAATAAGATTTTATGCCCATCAGGAATCGAAATCTTATAGAGTAAGTTTAAGATGACTGGCTAAAAATGAATAGAAGTACCCGTTTGCTTTCTCATGAGGTTATTTAACATTTAGAATATTCATTACTCTTATTCACTGCATCATATCAGAACAGGCAAAACAAAAAATAAAGTGGTAGACACAGTGTAACGGGTGGTTAGGCATATATGATATATATCCCGAACATCCCAGTAAACGAAAATTCACAACCTCATCAAATGATTGGTCACCTTTGCCTAGCATACTCCAACAAACATTCGCATCGTTCAGTTTTTAGTGCGAACACATTCAGGCGATGCTTCCAAAACGCCACTAGTCAAAAATCTGAAGTCTACGCATGTCTTATCTCTCAAAGACCATGTTTCACAGCCACAAAGTAACATGGTTGACTGCGGTGCAGTTCACTTGACACTTCGTTCGCAGACAGATATCTCGCTTACAACACAAGTGGCTCAAGTTGACAAAAGCCAAGTGAGCTTTCTGAATCCGTGTTAAGATTTCACCACAGTTGTCGAGACTTACGATCAAGTAAAATGGTCGACACAGTCAAGTAATTCACTTCCTGTGATCAATTTACACCATGACACAGATCAGTCTTCAAGCAACACTGCATACAAGTTTGCGTTGTTACTCAAAGCCGTCAAAAGACTGCAATTTCTCAGTCTTCATCAGATAGGATTATGTCGTGCGGGTATTTTAGATGAATAAGTGGACATCCTGATGGGCTAATCTTTGAAAATTTAGAAGTGTGGCTTTCAAAAGGGAATCCATGATGAAACCAAATAGAAAGATCGATAGTGGCTAGCTCTGGTGGACAATAGTTGAAGTTACTGATTTTGATGACAGTTTGCAATAAACTCCTAATTGAACTACTGTTCGAGTAAAAAGCCTCCGAGAAGTTTATATACTTACTCAACACAATTTTAAAATGACAACCATTTTAGTAAAGTGACTTTATCGATGAAGTTAAATTATGGCTAAAAGTTAAAAAATGGGACTAATTTAACCTAAGTGGTTTTGCTGATGCTTGAAAATCTGATGAAGGCTTAATACCTGATCAATACACTTACTACCAGGCCCGAGATAAACCTGATTTCTTTAAGTTTCTTGTTCATGTGTAGTCTAACGTCAAGTGTAGGTATAGCATTAAGTCGTAGGGCAGAACTAGCTTTCTTAGATTAGATACCGGTAAACAGTCGTTTATGCGCTGTCCGACAAAACGGGACAGGAAGGACTCGTAAAGATAGGGAAAGTCGCCGTTGCATATTTGTGGTCTCTAAGCACGATCCCACTGACTGCAGCACAAACGAGATTAAAATGACTTTTACAGGAACCTTAGTAACCTTCTTCAAAATGTTAAGCACTCTGATATAGTAATAATGGCTAGTGACGTTATTGCTCAAGTAGGTAGACTAAGTGTAAAGGAAAGAGACGCGTGTGGATCTTATGTTGTCGCGGCTCAAAGAACAGATAATGGCGACCGCCTGTTGGAGCTATTCTTAGATAATCGAATATTTCTAGCAAACACTAACTGTAAGCATAAGGGAAAACATATAAGGAAATGGCAGCCCCCAAAGCCGACCCAACTAAATCACACTGCTGTCAGCCATCGGTGGAGAGTTTTGATTGAAGACTATTGCTCGCTCTGGAGCACATGCTTAGATACAGATCATGCTCTAGTGCGACCGCGTAATTGTTTGCGTCTTACTGAACGTAGGCACGACACCGCAAAGAAACCTCTTAGGGTTCTCCTTAATTATAGCACAGCTAAGAATATATTTCAGGAGCAACTAGGAGAACAGTTAGGCGGCCATGTACTAAGTGATGCCCATCTCGAAACAGCTTGGACTGACATCGAAGGAGCTGTGGCAACAGCTTTAGTATCTGCTAGTAAGGTGAACCGTAAGGTTAAAGAGAAGCGACGGGTTTCAGTAGCAGCTAACAAACTGGTGGATGCTCGAAAACACATACCGTCTGGCTCTGAGTACGATGAGGAGCGGAGTCAGATAAAACGCAGGCTCATATAAAGCCTACGCAACGATTGCGAACAGTGGTGGTTAGCAAAAGCAAGAGAGATGGGAAAGGCAGCGGCGACAGGCATCAGTAGACAACCGTTCAGACCTATAAAGTAAGCCGGTATTGGGAATCCGACTGTGAGAATATCTCGGGAACGGATTGGACGATTATTCATTCTTAATCCAGGTGTTTCAATCGATGGGCAGAGCACTTTACGGATCAACTCAACTGGCCTTCAGCCACAATTCGGTTACCTAAGATCTCTAGTCAACCTGAATGGCAAATCCATCCAAGTCCTCTGACTCTTGATGAAGCTGAGAAAGTTATAGGAAATCTAAAGCGGGGGGAGGAGCAGCGCGTCCTGATATCCTAACTCCTGAGACTTTTAAGGATGGTGGTCCAGTCTTAGAAGTTAGATCGATTGAGATCTTGGGCAGAATTTTGGAACTGTACATAATCTCATCTGACTGGTCTCAATCACTGATTGTCCCAAGGACAAAAGTCCTCTTGTGACAATCACAAAGGAATCAGTTTAACAAATATTGTCTAAAAATTTCAGCTTCGATAATACTTCAACGTCCAACTAGGGCACGTGAAGAGCACACTCGAGAAAACCAGGTCGGTTTCAGACCTGAACATGGCTGTATAAGATCATATATTCACACTACGACAGGTCCTAGAACACAGGCACACACTAAGGTGTCTCACTATATTTGTCTTCCTTGATCTTAAAGCGGCGTTTTGACTGTGTATATCGTGAGATTATACGGAAGTTTCTGTCATTAAAAGGTGTACCAAAAAAGTACATTAACCTTATATATTCGAACCCTACAGATCGAGTGAGAGCTTGTGGTGAACTGTTATCGGAATTGATTACCTCGAATGGTGCTCGTCAGAGCCGTTCACATTTTCCAATCCTGGTCAACTTCGTCATTGACTTGCATTAAGAGACGACACTGTCATCGACTGACTTTTCAGGAATTGACCTTCTTCAAGGAGACTCGTTTGTTGATTATGCCGACGACATGGTTCTATTTGGTAAAGATGACAAAATGCAGATTCTTTTGACTATCCTCGGCAACAATGCACGCATGTTCGGTATGCGATTCTCCCCATCAAAATGCAAAATGTTGCTTCAGGATTGGCTTGTATCAACACCTGAACTAGTGAGCATGTAGACCGCTTCAATTAACTGGGGAGTCTCATCAGTGCCGATGGCCCGGTGACTGATGAAATCTCGGCACAGATACAGAAGGCTTGATTGGCTTTTGCCAACTTGTGTCACTTATGGCGTAGGCAAGATATTCGTCTGCTAACCAAAGGAAGGATTTACTGTGCAGCAGTTCGCTCCATCTTACTCTATGGCTGTGAAACATGGCCAGTCAGAGTAAAAGATATTCGTAGGTTACTGGTTTTCGATCATAGATATATGAAGTCACTGACTACTGCACTGAATCATGTTGGTAGGTGTCGACTACCCGGTCGCAGTCCGCGAAATGATAGTAATTGAAGGTTGAAGATCTCAAATGGCATGTCTCAAAACCGTTTGCAATGGCACAGGTGCATCCATTCTTTGTGTTCTCTTAAACCTAATCCTCTGGAATCCCCATCACTTTTATCATGTTCTTTTTAAATTTATCTCATAAAATTATGCTCCTTGAATAAGATCTTTGAATTCTAATCTTTCCGACTACTGTCAATATGTCTACTACCTCTATTACTATAGGATTTGAATCGACGATTGCGTCTCTGTGCTAATGTGGTATGGTAACTTGAACTGATGTACTTAACTACGAAGTTTTGCGTGGTAACTGAATGACTGAAAACGTCAAGTAAAGGATGTATACCCCATAGGGACCCTAATTCACAACAAAATTCTTAGTAATCTATAAACGATAGATAAAATCCTCTAAAAGTTTTTTGTACAGGGCTCATTAGTTCTTTGAATTGGATTCCAGGAAATAAAATAATTAATTATGAATCTACTCTGTCATTTAGTGATCGAATTTTGCTGATATTTAATTGTGCATGAAAATTAGTTGCTTGAATGTTCACGAACATAGCCAAAATAAAAATATAGGGTTGAGTCAATTAGTTCAAGATGTCACATTGCATCACCATAGCGAGATAGCAAACTATTATATGCAGTAGGTGTCAGTGTTAGTAAACATTAGGCATAGTAGATATGATTTGAGAAAATATGGATTTATGGAATAGAAAATCTCTTAAGATAATTAAGATACTTAGAATCTAAGAGAAAATAAAGAGGCAATGTACTTGAAAATTGAACAATGAAGTAAGTAGTTACAATGTAGACAAATAATATACCGATATAATAACTACTATGTAGTCCATTTAAATTAAAAATCAAGGAGATACTACACCAAGTAAATGAGGAAGATACTACCAAATCCCCATTAACTATCGTCATATCTGTTGACGGTTTAGAATTCCTATTTTGTTGTCCTATGTCCTAAACTGACAACTTATTTTTCTTAACTAGTTCGTATTTTTAAAAATAATTTTCCTAATAAATCTCACTGGTATGCGATACGTGTCCAATTTATACTATCATATCGTTAAATAAATTATAATTGCGATACTTTAACCAATACACAATAAAATTAAGATAGGAAAAGGGTAAACTATGGTCTTTGGATGCTGAGTTTGATCACGATGTAAATTACAGATGAAATGTGAGAAATTATAAAATTATTGTTAACTGTAAGTTTCACGATAGTACTAAAATCAATGCTCGATATCTAATAATTATTTAAAATTCTTTACATAGAACTAATTATGACCATGTGATAACTCATAAAAAAAGAGTGCATAATTGGATAACAATTAGTGATATGTTTCAAATCTCATTATGCCCAGAATTTCCCTTTTTAACATACTGGTTCGATAACTTTTGTTTTTGTTGTTCTATGGTTACTAAATTTATGACGTATTTCATATGAAATTGGCAGTAATTACACAGTTCACTAATATTATATATTATACGTTAAAAGTGATCGCATCTATAACAGTGATGGTACTTATTGGTAAAGAATAAAAACCGGAAACTAATAAATAAAGACCGCTGTAAGCAGTAGGACCAAAGACCCAACAGACGCAATACATACATTAATAGAGTCAACGATACAGACAAAACAATAAAACAACTTATCAAAAGAACATTCGTTTAGGTTATTATGGTTTGCGATATCGCATAAGAAAAGCATTAGAAATGATTAAAGATGTGAGTAGATGGATAAATAAATGAGCAATACAGATACGAGAAAGGTAGACAGTATATCGTTATGACAAAATTTCTAAACGTATCGCTAAACTACGAACTAGCCACTTTGCAGCCTGAAAATGAACAGCAGTTTATCCTCATATTTACTGATGATTCCAAATAAAATATGTGATGGGATTGAAAAAAATACCATGCAAATAATTGGTCCACAAAGAGATTGACTTGATTTAAAGCGTTAGGATACCTATAGGTAGCTGAAATCAGTTACACACTGACAGAGACAAACATACATATTGGACACATAATCTATTCCTATGCTGTATCTACATTTCTCGATCATATGAGCGAAATTAAATAACAATATTTTCCGCTTGTATGTGTTGTTCTAATTTCTCAATCAATAAGATATCAGTAACAATATAGGCCAAGGAAACTGAATAATACAGGGTGATAAGTTCAAGATTCACATGACGACTAAGAGTAATATTGTCTGTACCATTATAAGAGATTTTTAACTTTTCTTCATTGATTCAACACTACATAATTTGTGGGAATAGATTCTCAGCTGATCATATGAACTCTAAGTATTTACAACAAAAATTAAAACATTTAAAAATCAATACACAAAGGTGAACAACACTTTCGTACCAAAAAAAATAAACTAGAATATATTGTCATTTAACTTACATTTTGATTTACAACAGTACTAGTAGTAGGAATCATGTTACTAGAGCTTGAAGTAGGCGCAGCCGGCGATGGTCTGGTCATTAAGTTTTCTGCTGCTAAGTCTGGAACACCTGTAGCTAAAAGCTCAGCAATTATCACAGAACGTGGGAACTGTGGAAACATAATGGATAACTGATCAACAGCGGCATGTAGATACCGTGGTAATACATTCAGATCATTTTCATTAAAGGCAGGTTGATGAACATTCGTATCATTAAGACCGGATGTTTGTTGAACATTTGTTTGATTATTCAACTCATTAACTGAAGCGTAAGGTTGAATGCCACCAAAACCTTGAATTCCACCAACATGAAATACCTCTCGAAATACCTATATCAATAAAAAGAAGTGTTTAGTAAGTTTAAAACAATAAATAACTATGATTAAATTTACATGGTTAGATAGATGATTCTTCAGAGTGAAAATGGTTACGATTTACTTAGATCCTAATGAACCGCAAAAAAAAACCGAAAGTTAGCTTAATGCCTACCTACAATTTATTACTGGCTAGCATATTCCAGAAGAAACTCCACCTGACGCCAATCGGATGACCACTTTACCTATCCTTGTTCAATCCTGTTAAAAACATCCTCCTAGATATAACATTATCTTCGTCTGAATTTTCAGGAGTGGACCTTTTACCAGGAGGCCCGCTTATTGACTTAGAATATGCCGATGACGTGTCTTTTGACAGTTAGCTCCGCTCTTAAAAGCCCTTAGTGGGCACCTTACTGCCGGAGATCCATGAGGTAGGGTGAGGTGTGACATTTTCAGGGCCGACCTTTTCTAACCCTTTCCTTTCATGTGAGAAGGCAGCAACGCTGCAGATGCTGGTTGTCCGAGGGAAATATTTTATGTCTATCACACCTTTCTACAGTCAGCAGTACGACTTCGCCCTCAGACCCTTAGTTGCTGCTTTTAGTCTCGCCGTTATCCAATTGATCTGCCTGGTATGGTAGAGCCTAAAGGAACATATGTTCCAGTCAACATATCTCGGTTGGGTTATCACGATAGGCAAGTCTGACCACTACTTTAAGGTAGCCTCTACGGTTGGGGGTAAGAAAACAAGCCTGACTGCCTCTTAGTGAGTGCAGAAAAGTTATAACAACATGACCCATCATATTTAATTTCGAAGATGCATTCTGGGGAGACCTAAATCAGTACTTAGTCAATCATGGAGATCATTCTGAAGACGCTTGGTATGGTACCCCAACAGCTGTAAATATATAATTAATATTGGTCACCAAATCATCTACCGAACTGATAGTTGTTAGAAAACTCATCCTGGCAGGCTTGGAGAACGAAAACTACTCAAATGTAAACTAACAAAAAGTTTACGCAATGATCATGACTTATGGTGCACACCATAGCATCTTAAGTGAGGAAGGTTGTATGGACAGATAACATTGGACAGTTGATCCAACTCATCAAGCAGACAGGTGTTAAAAATGCAATAGTCAATTAAACCATCTCCGAAAGAGGTGGGGCCATTGTGCAGTCTTAGCTAAGCATACTCGGTCGATATTTAAGGCAATTTAGAGAACAGATTAACTGATCTTTAGAGACTCTTCAGTTACCCAATATCTCCAAACCTGAGTAAGAAATCGATACGAGTCCTAAAACTACTAGTGAGGTTGAGAATGGTATAACTAATCCAAGACGAAAACGAGCGATGGGTTAACTCCAGTTCTTTAGGGATAGTAGTTAATTGGAATATTAGAGTATGAGAGTTAGATATAATCTTATCTGACTGGTCTCAATCTGTGTTTGTTCTAATTTATGAGAAAGGATACAAATAGTCTTGTTACAATGACAGAACTAGTTTGACCAAGCATGTGACTATATAATCAACCGATGTTGGGCTAGGGTTCGCCAATGGCAAACACAAGAAAATCAGAGTGGTTTCAGATATAAACGTAGATGTATTAGTCTTCCAAAAAACAGGAAGACCGCTTGACACTAGAATATAGTTTTACAACATTCCTAGCTGAAAATAACTGATTAGTTTACATCTCCAAAAGAAGCGACGTTGACCACATAATTCTACCTATATATATATATATATATATATATATATATATTAAGTTAATGTAGCTCAAAAAAGTACAAATGCAATTATTCTCTAGATACAAAGGCAACTTCTAGTGTTCACATGAAGATAAACATCACTGTAGTACATGTGCTAGAAGGACTAAAAATCTATCTGTATGATACATTATTATTTCAATTATTTGATGAATTATTACAAAACAGCTTACTTCGGACAGTTCAACATGCAAAGATGGTAACCATGAGAAATATCGTGACCCATCGAAATGGAAAGACCTACGTCTGATTTGGTTTCTGGTTTCATTTCCTGCAGCAGTTCGCTGATTCTATGTGGAGATGGAAAGCATAATAGATAAAGATGACTCGATATAGTACGAATAAAACTACCCGGATTAATAGAGATCAAAAGACAATAATTAAGAGATCTATTTTGTTTAAATGAATTGATTGTGTATATATAGCCATGGAAAGAAATTTCCACGTATAATCGTGATCGAAAAGACTTGTCAGAATTTTATAAAGGAAAAGGGAAATGTAATCCACAAATACAAAAAATTAAAAAATTTATCAGTTATAGACATACGTAAACTGTTCTCTTAGAGATCGAACTAAGCCTTGAAATACGATAATAGTTTAAACAAAAATAAAACCTCCATCAACGGACAATCTAACTAGATTTGTTATTTGAATCGCACAAGATATGGTTGTCAATACGATAAATTTTCCGACAAAAGGTAAAATTACGTTAGGACTGAAAATAACATCAAGAACAATTCTCGAAGATGGTCTTTGATCATAGGTATGATAATACATTGAGAAACATCTATTCGTTAGACATTTGCGACTCAAATACAACACAAACTTAAGAAGCAACAACCCTTAGTAATATGGGAAGTACGTTTATTTAGTTTCGATTGTCCGAAAATCAGACTCATCTCTATAGGCCACGGTTATTTGACGTTTACATCTTCCCAAAACAAATTTCAACCTAATCACTCAAAGTGACGGCATTGAAAGTAACTGGAGGTAATTTATAACAACTTTCTATTTCATTGAATTTTAGTTTTTAAGTTGAGACAATTTTATACAAATGCAAACAAGCTCAGAACTGTTTTATGTAACATAACTCCCATTTTTTAAAAGAGATAAGCGGTCTTTTATTCCTCGAATAAAATCCCGTCAGTCGCTTTATGATTTGAAAGGCATGAGTGAATAATAGCATCGACAAACGGCAAACATTTTTTAACGCATATTTCTCGAAGGCCATCAAAGAGTACGGTAATCAGTTGAGGTTTTAATTACTTTCTCATTCATGATAATTACGGCCCACAAAAATGCAAGGTTTATGCTTATGGACAGAAGTAGAAAGGAAGGATCAGGAGAGTAGGTTCGAGAATGCTGGTCGGCAGTAAGTAAAGTAAAGTAAGGTAAAGTAAAGTAAAGTAAGTAAGTAGGGAAGGAAGGAAGGAAAGGAAGAAGTAAGGAAGGTACCAAACATAAGAAGAGGTGAAGTAGTCGCGCAAGTTTGCCACATCATTTAGATTGCCAGTATGAGACCATTGTTTAAATTTTATTTTAGTTTAAGATCAGTTGACAAGATCACCCCACTGAGCGGTATCTGTATACTTGAATCATAATTTTTAATGAATCGTAATGAATTTTATTAGTAAATTTAATCGATTATCAAGCATTCTCCGTGACTGTGTGTTTGTGTGCCTCAGGCAGTTACTTAGTGGATTTTTTTTAACTACGAAACATAGTTTAATGCAAATAAATGACGTTAATGTTTACTGGATCGAAAGAATGCACAGATTTGGTTATATGCTAAATATTTGTATCGTTAAAAAAAATGCAAAAACAAGAATTATAAAAGCAAACGCTAGCATAATTCATAGATCGTACATTCGCAGACAGTTACATATTTATAAACACACGGTACTATTAGATACAATCTCATTTTTATTGTATTATACCAGATCACAAAAATATCGAAAATAAATTTTACAACTATACTGGATAAAACATGATAGTTAGCCTACTTTTGATTTCCTAGTTCCGGTTATCTAATCCTAGTAAAACAGCATTACGATCATCATTTACTTACTTTGCACGTATATTTATTCCGATGCATAAATCTAGGAATTTCCTAATGCATAGTTGCAACAAATCCTAATATGAAGATTACTTTACTACCGCATTTTTTTTTAACTTAGAAGTTGTTTAAAAACAAATATTATTGTTATATTTGAAAAAAACATATAGACTAATCAATAATAACGAATTGACTCCAAGACGAGAACTTACGTTTCGGCCATCCGTGTGAGTTACTTCTCGCACAGATGAATTATTCTCATTCTGTATTGGTGTTTCTTCGGTTTGTGCAATCGAAGTACTAGCAGCAGAATCTTGAGGGGCATCTGTTTCACGAGGTAGTGCATTTAGTGCAGCTGCTTGAGCAGCAGCAGCAACAACTGGGGCAGCACCAATGCTTAACCCAAGATTTAACCCTACAGCTGTAGCGAACATCCTGGAAATACCTGAGATTTGGTTAGGTCGAACTGCTTGATGAGGTGTAATCACTGGCTGTACATTATTGACTCTATCACGAGTAGTTGGCCCTTCGTTTCCTACGTTATTGAACAAATTCCGAATAAGCATACCAAGTGCTACGTTTTCTGACCGTTGTGTCCTGTTGTAGTTGTGAAGAAGCATAGGAGGTATGCCAAGGTCACGCCGACAAGTAGGACAGCTCGGATTCTGTTCAAGCCAAGCACGAAGACAGTGTTCGTGAAAATCATGGCGGCATGGCAATCGACGCCAAGTTGTCATGACATCCCAACATATTGCACAAATAAGTGCAGACTGACTTTCAGAATCGAAGAGGAACATCTGTGAAGTCTTATCATATGCTTCCGTTTTCGTACCAGCATCTTTAGAAGCGATCTGGAAGTGGAAATATATGAATATATATAATGGACATTTAGGTGTTTGTTTCATGAACTAGACGTTGGTGATTAATCTTTGTAACTTAAAAGTACTCAGAAGATTTACTGAACAGAAACTCGAGAAGTAGCTATTTGCATATAATTGTGAGACACTGACTTGTACAAATAAGTAAACTGAATTCTCGAAAACATAACAAACACTAGCCGTTTAGGTGTTTCATATCATAGGTAGCCGTATATGAGCGAAATTTCCTGCTTCTTAAGTACATGAAAAATTACGAAAATAATAACACGAAGTCAATTAAAAGACAAACATTGGTACAAAGGAAGACCTGAATACTTTTGAGCTACACAGAAAGACAGACAGACAGATACAACGCAGAACTTCGTACGTAAGTACATCAGTTCAGGTTGCCATGCCCCATCGGCACAGAGACGCAGCGGTCAGTTCAAATCCAAGAGTAACAGCATTAATAAAAGGATTAGCAGTAATGGAGAAGATTAGGGAGCGAACATATGATTCGAGGAGTATAATTCAGTAAGATAAATTTAGAAGGAGAAAGAGAGAGATTATGAGGAATGCAGAAGCTTAGAATTTCATAGAACACAGAGTGGATGCACCTGGGCCATTGCAAACGATTCTGAGCCATGTCGTTTAAGGTCTCTAACCGTCGATGAATTTCGTCTCGCGGACTCCAACCAGGTAGCCTACATCTACCAACATGACTCAGTCCACTTGTCAGTGACTTCATGGATTTCTGATATGTTTTAGTTTGGCCGCCCCTAGCTTTCTTCCAACCTATTCCTACACCACAAAACATAGCTCGTCGAGGCAGTCGGTGGTTAGGCATACGTAACACATGTCCCAACCACCTCAACTAGTCAAGTTTCACCACTTCATCGATTGATCTGCCATCCTTACCTAGAACTAGTTTCCTAACGACAGCATTGGTTATACGGTTGTCCCATGATACACGAGTAATGCTTCGGAGACATCGATGACTAGTAACCTACGAAAGTCCTCTATTCTTAACGGCCAAGTCTCGCATCCGTACAGTAGGACGGAGCGAACTGCTGCACAATACACTCGTCCTTTAATCAGCAGACGGATATCTCGCCTGCGCCATAAGTGACGCAGGTTGGCAAAAGCCAATCGAGCCTTCTGTGTCCGAGCTGAGATTTCGTCAGTCAGCAGGCCATCAGCACTGATGAGACTCCCAAGGTAAGTGAAGCGGTCTACATGTTCGACTACTTCACTCCCTATCACTAGTTTAGGTGCCGATGAAACCCAATCTTGAAGCAACATTTTGCATTTCGAGGGGGAAAACTGCATCCCGAACATGCTCGCATTGTTGCTTAGGGTAGTCAGAAGACTCTGCATTTTGTCAGCGTCTTCACCAAGTAGGACTACGTCATCGTCATATTCTAAGTCGATAAGCGAGCCTCCCGGTAAAATGTCTACTCCTGCAAATTCTGTCGAGGTTATTTCTAAGAGCATGTCCATGATAAAATTAAACAAGAATGGAGAGAGTGGACATCCCTGACGGACACCACTTGCGGCAAACAATTCCGATGACAGTTCGCCATATGCTGTCACTCGACCAGTGGTGTTCGAGTACAGAGATTGTATACGGTTAATGTACTTCTTTGGTACACCTTTCAATGACAGACACTAGCATAGAACCTCACGATCCACTGAGTCAAATGCCGCTTTTAGGTCCAGGAAAACAACTATTGTGGGACACCTAAATGTGTGTCTGTGTTCCAGGACCTGTCTTAGTGTGAAGATGTGGTCTATACAGCCACGTCCAGCTCGAAAACCAGACTGGTTTTCTCTAGTCTGCTCTTCACGAGATTTCGTCAAGCGTCGAAGTATTACTGAGGCCAATATTTTAGAAACTATATTAGTTAGACTTATTCCCCTGTGATTGTCACAAGAAGACTTTTGTCCTTTCTTATAGATTGGGATAATCAGTGACTGAGACCAGTCGGATGGGATTATGTCCAGTTCCCAGATTCTACCTAAGATCTCAGTCAACCTAGCTGCTAAAACTGGACCACCATCCTTAAATATCTCAGGGGTCAGTCTATCAGGACCTGCAGCTCGTCCTCGTTTCAGATTTCCTAACGCTTTTTCAACTTCATTAAGACTAGGGGGACTTAGGTCGATTTGCCATTCAGGATGACTGGAGATTGTGGGTAACCGAAGAGTGGCTCGAGGCCAGTTGAACTGATCCCTAAAGTGTTCTGCCCATCGGTCCAGTCTCCTGGATTGAGAATGGATAATAAGACCATCATTTTCCGAGATAGTCTCACTTACACTAGGATTCCTAATAACAGTTTCCTTGATAAATCGGAAAAGTTGTCTAATGTTGCCGATCGCCGCTGCCTTTTCCATCGCTTTTGCTTTCGCCACCCACCACTGTTCGCGATCGTTACGAAGGCTTTTAATAAGTCTGCGCCCAAGTTGACTCCGTTCTTCATCATGTTCAGAGCCAGGTGGAATGAGTTTTCGGGCATCCATCAGTTCAGTGGATGCTACAGAGATCCACGGCTTCATCCTAGCCTTATGGTTAACCTTCCTAGCAGATATCACTGCTGTTTTCACAGCCTTTTTGATATCATTCCAAACTAATTCAGGATGGGAATCGCTTACATGATTGCCTAACTTTCATTCTAGTTGTTCCTGAAATATATTCTTCGCCCTATTGTTATTAAGTAAAACCCTTACGGTGTATTTCCTACGTCCAGTAAGCCTTAAACAAATACGAGCTCGCATTAGGGCATGATCTGAATCTAAACATGTGCCCCAGAACGAGTGACAGTCCTCTATCGAACCTCTCCTTCGGTGGCTGATGGCGATGTGATCTAGTTGGGTCCAACGTTGAGACGACCTCGGGGGTCGCCAGGTCAGGTGTTTTACCTTATGCTTAAAGTTAGTTTTCGAACAATTTGGTCTCGTGTGTTGTTACGGGTATGAGGGCGGTTGTCATCTATATAATATAATTTCTAAATTGTTAGCCTCTATAACACTTCGATGCTCAACTAAAGCACGTGAAGAACAGACTTGAGAAAATCAAGTTGATTTCAGACCTGGACACTACGACAGGTCCACTATATTTGTCTTCCTTGACCTTAAAGCGACATTTGACTCTAATGATCGTGCGATTCTATGAAAGTTTCTGTCATTAAAAGGCATATCAGAGAAGTGAGAGCTTATGGCGAACTGTCATCGGAATTGATTACCTCGAATGGTGCTCGTCAGAGCCGTCCACATTTTCTAATCATAGCCAACTTCGTCATTGACTTGCATTTAGAGACGACACTTTCACGACTGGCTTTTCAGTAGTTGACCTTCTTCGAGGAAACTCGTTTGTTGATTATGCCGACGACATGGTTCTATTTGATAAAGAAGATGACAAAATGCAGAGTCTTCTAACTATCTTCAGCAACAATGCGATTCTCACCCCCGAAATGCAAAATGTTGCCCCAGGATTGAGCTGCATCGACACCTGAACTAGTGATAGAGAACGAAGTAGTCTAGTCTAGATACAGAAGGCTCGATTAGCTTTTACCAACTTGCGTCACTTATGGCGTAGGCGAGATATCCGCCTGATAGTCAAAGGATGAGTGAACTGTGTAACAGTTCGCTCCGTTTACTATACGGATGTGAAACATGGCTGGTAACAGTTGAGGGTATCAGTAGTTTATTAGCATTCGATTATAGATGTCTTCGAAGCACTGTTCGTGTATCCTGTAACAACCGAAGGAGCAATGCTGTCGTTCGGAAACGAGTTCTAGGTATGGACTGCAAATCAATTGATGAAGTAGTGTAGGCTGTAAGAATGCTAGAAGCTGCCAAACCAAAACATGACACAAATTCATGAGGTCACTAACAAATGGACTGAGGTATGTTGGTAGATGTGGATTACCTGGTTGACGTCAGCGGGACAATGCTTGCCAATGGTTAGAAACTTTGGATGATATGGCTCGAAACCACTTAGAACGGCACAGATACATCCATTCTTTGTCTTTTCTTAAATTCTAATCTTTTGAATTTCTCATGAACTCCATCTTTCAATTCTCAAATATATTTCACTGGATTATACTCCGTGAATAAAATCGTCAAACTAGGATTTTTCTGACTAGTCTATCACTATGCGTTTTGAATCAACATTTGCATCTCTGTGTGCTAATTTGGTATGGCAACTTGGACTGATGTACGTACGTACGAAATTCTACGTTGTTGCTGACTAACTGACAGACTATATATCACAAACATCCCAGTAAACGAAAATCCACAACCCCATCAAATGATTGATCACCTTTGCCTAGCATATTCCAACAAACATTCGCATCGTTCAGTTTTTAGTGCAAACACATTCAGACGATGCTTCCAAAACGAAATTAGTCAAAAATCTGAAGTCTACGCATGTCTTCTATCTCAAAGACCATGTTTCACAGCCACAAAGTAACATAGTTGACTGCGGTGCAGTTCACTTGCAACTTCGTTGGCAGACAGATATCTCGCTTACAACACAAGTGGCTCGAGTTGACAAAAGCCAAGTGAGCTTTCTGAATCCGTGTTAAGAGTTCACCACAGTTGTCGAGACTTACAAACAAGTAAAATGGTCGACACAGTCAAGTAATTCACTTCCTGTGATCAATTTACACCATGACACAGATCAGTCTTCAAGCAACACCGCATACAAGTTTGCGTTGTTACTCAAAGCCATCAAAAGACTGCAATTTCTCCAAGTCTTCATCAGATAGGATTATGTCGTGTGGGTATTTTAGATAAATAAGTGGACATCCTGATGGACCAATCTTTGAAAATTTAGAAGTGTGGCTTCTAAAAGGAAATCCATGATGAAACCAAATAGAAAGATCGATAGTGGCTAGTTCTGGTGGACAATAGTTGAAGTTACTGATTTTGATGACAGTTTGCAATAAACTCCTAATTGAACTACTGTTCGAGTAAAAAGCCTCTGAGAAGTTTATATACTTACTCAACACAATTTTAAAATGACAACCATTTTAGTAAAGTGACTTTATCGATGAAGTTAAATTATGGCTAAAAGTTAAAAAATGGGACTAATTTAACCTAAGTGGTTTTGCTTATGCTTGAAAATCTGATGAGGGCTTAATACCTGATCAATACATTTACTACCAGGCCTGAGATAAACCTGATTTCTTTAAGTTTCTTGTTCATGTGTAGTCTAACGTCAAGTGTAAGTATAGCATTAAGTCGTAGGGCAGAACTAGCTTTCTTAGATTAGATACCGGTAAACAGTCGTTTATGCGCATTCAGATGAGACCAGTAATTCTTCAATGTAAAGTAGTTACCTATGTTTTTTTGAAAAAGTAATACGTTTGAATCAAGCTAACTCACATGTTGTCCTGTCTTGCAAGCCTGATAGTTTTCATTGATGTATTTCACCAGACGTCTTTGCGCTAGGTGGCGAGATATGCTGTTCGCCAAATTTGAGTAAGATACACGTACATGCAAGAAAACAACAAGGCTAGCAACAGAAAACACTCTACTCCATAATAAAAGATGTAGATAATGTGTTATTTCCGTTAGTCGGTATAAACACGTGAAAAAGAGCTCATAATAGTATGTAACTGTTGAATAATATTGCCAGCTTTGACCTTTGCGTAGACACCAACGATCATACGTCTGTATGAATAATCCACAAACAAGATGGGATATTGTACACATTAAAAGCGCAAACTCAGATATAAGTAGGGCGACAACATCCACAGCATCATATAAGAGCTCTTTTTTTCCTGTTATTTTAGCTTTTAGTGCACCCAACACGGTTGGTGTTTTGAGCCCAGTTAGGAAGGAATTCCGAGAATGAACATCTAGAAAGTCGCCACTAGTTGAGACATCTATATCTGCTAACTTAAAGCAGTTTTCTAGACCGGCTTTAAGTAGATACCAATTTGCAATAGAAATCATTAGAAGCATGAAGTATATCCGCAACCACTGACGCATATTTACTGCACCAGAAGCCGACATTTGATTACTTCTGGAACATGCCACAGATGTTAACATGTGCAACACACCAAGAATACTGAACCAACAAAGCCATCCCAAAAGACTTGTCAATCGAGAAGGATTAATTGCTCCAGAAAGTATGATAAAATGGAAAAGAACGAAACGAAAAAGGGATTTAGAAAGGGACACCCTCTCAGCAGGTGTCAAGCTACCGAAAAAAATAACCACGACTACTTTCCAGAGAGCCAAAAGAACTGCAAAAAGCCCCAAAACAAGTGATAAAAAAGTTGATATATTCTCAATTGGCGATGAAGATGAATTATCGTCAAGCTCTGAATCTGAACTGGTATCATTTGACAATGCCAACACTTCCAAAGTTTCAGAATTATCTTCAGGGTGGAGTATGGACTCAAGAACACAAAACGCCGAAAGAATGCCGGAAACCGATAAAAACAAGCAAATTTCAGTACGAAAGAGCCACATCACGACGCTCTTGACAAATCTATATAACCGTCTACAACATAGAGTTAACTTATGAATGATCATTCGTTTATTCTTGTTGTTTTGAAGGTCCAAGACTATACAAATTTTACTCAACCTTCTGAATATCACGACTCTTTTAATCAGGCGTTAAGCAACATGTTGCAAGTAGATATGTGGTGTTAGATTAGCAGCGAGTAAAAACAATCTTCCCAGAAGTACGTAACCTGTAAGATAGAAAACACGAAAACTAGCATTAATATAAATCCCCGAAACAGATCCCAGTTTTCGTATAACATTGATAATCAGGTATAAATTTTCATGCCAGAAGGAAACTGTTTACAGTGTGAAAGATGATAATGGTATGTCTAAATGCTATTGGCGAGGATTTACACCTTAGGCCAGTATTTGGAAATCTTTAATATGTATATTACAAATGAGCATCTTAGAGCTAATAATTTAAATGGTTGTCAACGGAATGGAAGTTTTCGTCAAACAATATTGTCTCTAACAACAATGGACCATCAATATCCACTAGGTAAGGACCATATTACACAACACAAGCAGAAAAGTGAAGTTGGTAAACTACAAGTTGCTACTAAGAGTTCGCACTCGAGAAACTCCCAGGAAGTTGCTCCGAATACTTCAGGTAGTTACTTAATTGCCCCTGTTACCCCTTGTGGAGCATAGACCACCTACCAAGATCACCAACCAACCCTGTCCTGGGCTATCTTTGCAGTTCTACCCTACTGCTATTCGTTGATCATTTTTATCTCCGATTCTCGGCATAGTGTGTTCTTTAGTCTATCTCTTTTCTTTTGGCCTTGAGGATTCCAAATTACAGCTTGGGTTGTGATGTCGTTAGATTTTCACAGTGTCCTGTCCACCTCCACCATCTCTGATTGATTTATTCTGCAGCTGGAATCTGGTTTGTTCTATTCCACATCAGGTTTTTTCTGGTGGTGTCTGGCCAACGGACCCGAGCATCCTGAATAGACAACTGTTAATAAACACTTGTATCTTTTGGATGATGATTTTGGTAGTTCTCCAAAGTTTTCTGCTTCATACAAATAGAGCTCTCCTGATGTTTTGATTAAAAATTCTGACCTTGAAGTTGTTTGGAAGACAGTTGTTCTGAATTTCAGATATTCTTCAGTCGTAGTAATACTGCCTTAATCCATGCATTTACATCTGCATCATATCCCCGATGTTTATCAATCATGATGCCCAGGTATGTTTTCACATCTTTCAGAGCTCGGACTAATGGGATTTGGTTGGTACTCGTTTTGTTGTATCGGATGATCCTGCTTTTTTCCGTATATATGGAGAGTAGAGAATTCATAAACCTGACTAACTGTACAGTAAAAGGCATACAGTCTGATCCACTAGGTTGTATCAATAAGTTTGAAGTATTTCGCCTCGAAATCCTATAGGAACTGGACCTGGATAAAACGTCCGCAGCATGTTTTGGTCAGTAACGGTGTCTCTCATTCTGAGTGCATAACAGTGGTTTTGGGCGTTCCTCGTATGATTTGAAATCATTTTGTGCTTCGTCCCTCAATCTTTAAAAGAATTCTTATTAAACTAGCCTGAAGGAAGTAAAATTTCTTGTACTATACGTTGAGCTGAGAAACCCCAAAGACTAAGAGATCACTACTATTAAAGTGACAGAAAAATGGGCTTAAATGTTAACAATACTAAGTTGCGTCTAAAGGCACATCTTAAAAATTAATATGTAACCGAAGATCGTGTAAAACTACGATATTTGTGGTTTTTGATCATTACGACGCTTTCGAAGAAGTAGAGTTGCTTACATCACATCGCAATTATGCCGATTTTCCACCTCAATGCGTTGGAAGTTAGTTTCATGTTTGCCGGACTTTAGAGTCAGAAATCAACATTCTTAAGTACTTATGCAACCAAAAGGAGGAAATAAAGGGGACAATCAGTCGAAAAACGAGGAGAAAATAATATATAGGGTCGTAACCTACTATAGTAGCTTCAATGAGTAACCTTCAGAAAAAAAATCAATATACATAGATATGGTGAATGGAAATACAAAAAACGGTCGACGTCATGTAAGGAGTTATTATACACGTACATCAAAAAGAGATTCAACGAATCTTAACTTACATAGGTACCACTTTCTGCCAATGTCCTCTGGAAGTTGAAGGTCATCATGTATTGCTTCTTGCAAATATAGTAACCTTATTATAATGACTGAAATTCTGTAAATTTTCGAAAACGTATGGTAGTAAATACTAATTTATTCACAATGTTACCAGTAACGATCACATAAATAAGATCTTAGTCACAAGCAGGAAAAAACTAATTCAATATCCAATATCTTTTTCACGAGTTAATATGAACTGGCTGATTTCTCTACGCGCGTTTCTTGTTCTTTCGGTACGGCTCCAGGTGTTTCGTGGTATCCAGTCAATGTGGGTCTAGCCACTTAACTGTCTAACTCTAGTCAGCTGACAGTGGTTTGTGAGTTTGTGTGTCCCGGATACATTTGTTTCAGGGCAGTAGGGTTGCTGGATACTAGCAAATATCACATTAACAGATCGCAGATCATTTATTTGCAATATGGGAATTAATAAGGAGAAAATTTTAATGCTAATAAGAGTAATATTTCAGGATTCAGTAAATAATGGATAATTTAGTTTATAAATTGGTAGTGAAGATTGTGAGAGAGGACTGAAGTGAAAAATTAATATGTTATATGCCATAAAACGATCACCACTGGTTCTCCTGTAACTTATGGAGAATAATTCCAGGTGCTAGAGTCTATCTTCGTGAGGTTTGCTCTTCAACCTTATCACCCATTTCGTGGTTCGATTCTGCACCCAATCTAAGAGATTCATGTCTCTTTTAAGGAGAGGGGGTGAGACAACGTTGTGATTAGCTGGTTGTTAATGAATATCAGGAAGAGAAATGGACCTGAGATGGTCCTCTGTGGTCCTCCCGATGTTGAGACTCGCCTGCTCGAGTGCACTCTGTTTACCTTGGTACGAAACTTTCTATGCTCAAGGTAGTTTGTTAGTCGAGATACAAGTGGGTAAGTGCATCGGTGTATTTTGGTCCAGGCAGGATGTCTAAATGTCCCATGTTATGAGAAGATTGTATCCGCACTATCTGTCTTTCCGAAACCCGTGCTGAACTTCATGGAGGATATTGTTCTTAATACTGATGATAACAATAATAAAAATAATTCATTCCCAAATAAAGAACATGCTACAAGAGGCATGCCAATTTACAGACAAATTCAGAACATTAGGATTGGCAACATATTTCTTTTAAAATGGTGTACAGTCACCGAAATATTCCTTAGGATACATTGGCTCCATGTAGATGATCCTCAATGTACAACGCGAATAATTGGGGCAAATTACGACGGTTGCCTTACGACTAGCTTCTTATTGACTGTGAAACGATGCAAGGTACAGCCAGGTCTGCTTATGACAACAATTGATGAGGTGCATGTGCCAAGAACTGGTTGATGAATTGACAGGCTCCTGGGTAAGGTAACCAAGTTTTCGGCAAATATCCAGACTGATATATAGGTATTGTAATAAGGTGCTGAAAAAAGAGAAATAAAGAGAACGGGGAGAGGAGCAGAAGAGAAAATACTCTTCTTCAGAGACGAACAATGACTCAGCACATACGTTTCTGGATAGAATAAAGGTATGTTTACTAAGACTTTTTTTCATTAGAACACTAACTGTACACCTGCATTTATGTAGGTTAATGAAGATAGTTCAGTAGTAAAATAACGAATGGACATTTAATCTTGTGCATAAAGGAAATTCAGCATAACCAAATTGTTAGCAACAATGTTGATTTACAGAATATGATAATGAGGCTCAGTGATCTCATGCTTTTACTTTATTTTATTTATTATTTTTATTTTTAACTCTGTGGTTCAAGAAGTAATGAATGAGCTCTTTCTCTGTATAATTGTCCAGATCTTCTTGTAATAAGATTCCTTGGTAGGAAGTTAAGACCAGTGCAAGGTTACGGACATGAGTCGTAGACGAGGTTAACAAGGAAAAGTAACATCAATATTACTGATTTGTTACATCCTGCTACATCGTAAGGAGCCGTAAGTAAACGAAATGTTCTGCCACACAGACATGTGTAGATTGAGGATATCGCCCCACCGTCATGAATGCCGGTCAGATACACCACCCTAACTCCTTTTGTGATGTTAGGCTCTCTAATGTTTAATGGTTGATTGTAAATAATGTTTTCTATTCTACTCTCCATTTTTTGTAAACCTTGTCGGAATTCACTTTCTCTACTGGCTCCACATTACAAGCAATCCAGACAACTTTGCCTTCTGTACGAAAGACAAAATATCCACGTAGCATACCACACTGATTTATAAGTAAACTGATGGTGTAACTTGTAAGATATGTTTCAGTGAATAGGTGGTTTGGGGACAGGAAGGACAGTGAGGTGGAAAAGGAAGAAAGAGAAAATAGAGTTGGAATAATGTTAAAAGTTAATGAGAAAAGCGATAAGTTGGTAAACAGGCAAAGTATTTGGATGCTAGTGAATTGGGGGAATAAAAATTTACTAAACTGTTAATACTTAAACAAGAAGGAACTCACAATGCTGCGGGTAGTTTCAGTTCCTTGTAATTGACAGTAGTTGATCAGCATCTACAGGCTTTTCAGTTTGTTTGTCTACTAGAAATAAAAACTAAAACTGCATTGAAGACATGAAAATAATGACTGAAATTTAAATTTAGAGAAAAGTCATGGGTAGCACCTCGAAGGCGTGACCCATTACTGTTAGTAGGAGCGAGAGGATTTGTCTATCACTGTATGGATGGTAATGCGGGCATAATATGTTCATAGTCTGTAATTAGTTTCTAGGGTTTATCTAAATATTTGGTGGACCATAAAAGAGTGCCTTGGGACTTAGTGTGAGTTCCGACAATAGTCAATGAATCCCTTTAGAGTCTAACAACAGCACTACTAGTTGCTTGAACTTAGTAATTGTGTCACATACGAATAGTAATTGGTAACCTGTTCCACAATAGACTGTTTCGCAATACAAATAAATTACAGCGCAATGATTTTTTGTGTTTTGCTGTAAATAGTGTATATGCATTGTTTCGAAGTCTGTAAGCAGTGTTGTGGTCCATAATTGGGCGGCATTTTACGAACGAGAGACAGTTTATCATTTTATAGAGAAGTATTAGGTTGTTTTTCAACCGACGGCGCCACATAGGTTCTAGGGAAAGATGCAAGCATCTTTCTGTGTAGTCGAGGTTCTTGCTCTATCCAAGCAGTCGCCGGGTGAGGCTTCTTTGGACATTTTCTACTCGTATCTTGTCCATGATATTTATGCTTGAGAAGATTAGTGAGCAATATTCAAGTGAGAGCCTTATACACATTTTGAAGAGTGTAAGCTTAGCCTCACTTGTCAAGAAATTCTTATTTATAAACCCAATTGGTCGTCTGGATTTAGAGATGATAGCTGAGGCTTGTTCTTCGAATTTTAGGCTTCTGGAGTAACGAGTACCCAGATCATGCGCTGATGTAAGTGTCTGAACTCTACATTTTTGTAAGTAGAGTGGTATACCATGGTGATGCTTACTAAAATGCATGGTGGCACATTTATTATTGTTAAACGGCAGCTGCCATGTTTCGCTACAGGTACTTAGTTAACAAGATCACTCTGAATCTTGGCTATATTTTCGTCCAGATCTTCAGGCTTATAGCTGTATACTATTTTTATATCATCATCATATAAGTATGCTCTTCCAACTCTTGTAGTATTACATATATCTTTTATGTAAATCAGAAACAAGAGTGGACCTAATACACTTCACTGGATAACTCCACTGGTTGTTGGTCTTGGTGATGAAAGAGAATCGTTGTACTTAACCATTTGTTGTCGCTCATTTAGGAATGAAGCAAACCATGAATGTAGTGGGTTACTGATTCCGAATGAATTTAGTTTAAGGAGAAGACTTCTGTGTGGACCTTGTCAAAAGCCTTCTTAAAGTCAAAGAAAAGGACAGATACTAGAAGCCCTTTGTCTTTTTGATGCATAATATCAGTGAAGTAGTCTAGCAGGCATGTAATCTCCCTTTCGCTCACTCATTAGTCCTACCATCACCTTGAATAATGTTGCCAGTAACGAGACTGGTCTGCAACATGCTTGATTCAGACTATCTCCTCCTTTGAAGATTGAAGAGAGAGTAGTTTTTTTTCATTCAGCTGGGAGTTGGTGTGACTCCAGTGAATGCTTGAACAGGCCACATACCAGTGAACTGAGTGCTTCCTCACATTGTCTCAAGACTCTGAGGCAAACATTGTCATATCCTGGTGATTTTGTTGCCCCATAGATTTGGGGCATAATAATAATCTATAATATGTAAGAACACAATACTGCTAGTCTGTTTACCTTTTCCGAGTCCATGAAGCTATCCGCTGGTTGTAATGAACTATCAGACTACATTTACACAAACTCCTTTTTTAAATTCGCTCCATGCGAACTCATACATCTTAGTGCTTACTGTAAGACACAAAATATGGTGTCCTGAGAATACACTAAACGTTTATTAGTTAATTTTGACATCAATCATTTTTATAAACTATGGAAATGATGATCATCCACTATGATTTATTTTTTAATCTAAGCTCCTCTCGTTTTTCTACTCTACAGTCCTAATTATTCGATGTCAGTGTGCGTGTCATATGAAGGTTCATACGTACATTGTCTTAAGTAAGTATCGATAATGCGTTTTAGTAATATTGGAATCTAACTATCTCTGCAAAAACATCTTCACCTCGTCTGAGCATACCAAAGTTAGGATGTCTAGGGTACAACATAGGTCATTCATGAACTATGAGATGAAGGGTGACTCAAGTAAAGAGTCATGTTATGTTCTGCTCCTCATTTGTGCTGGTTAGTTGGTATATTAACGACTAGAATAAACGAGCAAGACAAGCTACTCTATCTATCATATTTTCCAGGCTCATTTTCGCATAGTGTTCCTATAAGATAAACGGTCACTTGTACCGTTGCAAAGATACCATGCGTTTCAATCTGCACTCTTACTCGCAATAATATAGAGGGTACCAGAATGTAACTAGCAGTAGAAACTAGGCTTATTGGCCTGTGACGGGAAAAGGATGGTTTCTGAAATAATTTAATATACGAGGTTGTCCACACTGGCAGGATGGCTGTCATCCAATCGGGATGTTTTCCACCTTCAGTTTTTAAGTTATTATGAGTCATATCCGTCTCATAACTGAGCTTTAAAAACGCTGAATGAGATGAAAACCAAGCCCATTTAAAATCCGGATGTAAATCATAAAACTCATATCATTGAATCGGTAAAATGGTGGTAAAACTTGGAATTCCTTTCTGTCAGGCGCTCAGAATTCAAGATGAGCTAGGAGGAAAGAAGGTATATGTCTTAATCAAAACAGAATCAGATAGTTTGATGTCAATTCAGTGAGTGTTGACTGACTATCTTTCTCACACTTTATTATTGACGGAACCCATTTACTTCGAGTATGAATAGTTACTGGTTTTTCTCAATCGAAAATATTACATCAGTAAACTGTTTTCGTTATTTTTGACTTTTGATGGCGGCATTCAGCTTCATGCTCTGAAGGCCTTACGTTTCACAAAGTTCCCATCTTTCTGTTCATAAATGTATGCATTGCGCCTCATAAATGATATTATATTCATCCTTACCTTCGAACGTTTACTATTTACGTTGAGTTCAGACAGTCGCTGATCATTTAGTAATAGACTTATTTATATTTACTTTTCAAGCTATGTCACGCAAATAAGCTCACTTGAAAAAGATCTGGTACCGTCACTTAAGAGAATAGTATAGTGTTATGCAAGCACACTAATCAGTCCTTATCATTTTATGATCCTTTAACAGCCACACTGGATACACATCGTGTACTTGGGCATGATCTCTCGAAATTGATTGCTGGAATCTGTGATTGACCTGAAACCAACACTTAATACGGACATCTCTTGCAAAGTTCGTCTGACACTAAGCACTTAAAAGCACACACACTGATACCGTGCACTGTTGTCTGTCTACAAAAAACAATCAATGGTGAGTGTCTGCGTTATTTACCCAAAGATATATCTCTTTCTTCAACTGAATTTATATGCTCCAACCTTCCAGTATCCGTTTGAAACAACACTACACACAAACTTGTCAACCGTATCAATTTTCATGTAATATGAAGAGACGTTTGAGGTAACGTAACTCAAACTTTTCACGATTTATCATTATACAAACACTCTGTGAATGTGACGAAAAATCTTGATCTTGAAACTGCAAAAACTGAAATAGAAGTTGACTTTAAATTTTCAGAAGTGTTGAAAGGACTTCAGTGAATGCTGAGTAACATTCTTTTTAATGTATTTCACAATACAAATCTAGGATCGGTTAAAAATCACAAGCTACAATAATTTACAAGTCTAAACTAAATCAACCTGTCATATTACCAGCCAGTTTAACTTCATCACAGGGACTAATAATTTCACTAATGATCGGTCATAATTCAAGCCTATTCCAAATTTAAAAAATTAGGAGTTATGTATGACAGAACTGCTATTCAATAAGCACCATCAGTAATGAACAGACCAAATATTTTATTCTCCGGTTATTTTCTTAGATATATCTGGAATTTGGTTCTATTTCTGTATGATCTAGGACAATTTTGGACTGGGTGAAGAATTTTTAACGTATTTTAGAAATCTGCTCTTCTGTACATGCCGTCGTTGTAAAATTTATTTGAACTGGTCTGCTGAAACTGGCAATCTCAAGAATTCTATTCTCGTGTAGGATTGACAATCCATCACCAGAAACTTTCATGATGAGCGGTGTCCGAAATCAGAACATGGTGCGAGTTAGCTCCCAAAATAGACTACCTATGCGAGAATACATGAGTGGAAGAGGGGGTCTATTTGGCTACTAAATAATGTGTACAACACACTTCTATATATATTCTACCTTAGAATAGGAATCCATTTCCGGTCCAGTGTTTGGGTTTTCTATTGTCATGTGCGTGGTTAAACTTGGAAAAACATAACACCTCAAATAACCAAAGTACAATTTAAGTAAGGTTTTAGCAGTGAAGTTCTACGCTGCACTGGAGTACGCCTGGAATTGCCGTAATAAATGAAGAATAAAATAAAATAAGCCATAATGGCACCAATCCAATCAAAGAGAGGCAGCACTTAACTGGCCCTGTAAGAACAAAGAGCATCAGGGAAACGCAGAATTAAGGAATCTTGTTTTGAATTCCAGTGTTAAAAGGACACACTGCAGTAAGTATGTATAAAGAAGAACATCAAGAAGGCAAATTTCCTACTTGGGGATTAAGGTGTTTATAAGTCAACAGAACTAAATTCAGATTCGACATCGAAACTCCAAAGACTTTAAGTTCTACCAAAGCAGGAAAAATCTAAAGACCAAATCCAATGGACCAATGGTCTCGTGATTCGGCAGTAGGGCGATAATGACAGGGTAAGGGTTAATATAATATATATTTATTCTCAAATAACTACGTTACAAGAGTCACGCCAGTTTACAGGCTAGATCAAATTGTCACAAATGCTTTCACAATCACTGTAAAGTTATAGCAGTTAAATTAAGTATAAGAGTCAGTTTCTGATTGCATATTCACACCATGTCACTGACAGAAACAATATGATGCAGCCACATTTTCAATAGCAGAGTACAAATAATTAAGGTGCGCAGTAGGTTACTTTGGCGATTTGTCGAGATCAATAGTGAATTTGTTGGGATAGGTCATATGAAACGCGCTTGATACGAGCTGTGATCCAGACAGTCATGTACATAGGGTGCATGTTCCCTAGAGTAGCCAAGGATTTCCCACTGTGAATGGGGTTCTGAAAAGGAGAATAGAGAGAGAGAGAAAAAGGCAGCAGTGTGGCTTCTCTTCTGTCCACCTGACACTGCACAACTCTCCCTTCTTTTTGCTGTACTCCTTTTTCTGTGCGTTATATTCTTATATTCCCATAATTTACTTTAATTTAAGTGGTCAGTATGAATTTTATTTTGACTTACTACTGTATTGACTACTTCAACATGATAGGTTAAGTAGTGCTTTGGTTATATATATACACTTGCCACACTGCTGCCTTTTTCTCTCTCTCTTCACCTTTTCAGAACCCCATTCACGGCGGGAAATCCTTGGCTACTCTAGGGAACATGCACCCTAGGTACATGACTGTCTGGATCACAGCTCTTATCAAGCGCGTTTCATATGACCTATCCCAACAAATTCACTATTGATCTCGGCAAATCGCCAAAAGAACCTATTGTGCACCTTCCTTCCTTATTTGTACTCTACTATTGAAAATGTGGCTGCATCATATTGTTTCTGTCAGTGACATGGTGTGAATATGCAATCAGAAACTGACTCTTATACTTAATTTAACTGCTATAACTTTACAGTGATTGTGAAAGCATTTGTGACAATTTGATCTAGCCTGTAAACTGGCGTGACTCTTGTAACGTAGTTATTTGAGAATAAATTATTATCATTATTATTATTATTATTATTATTATTATATATAACCAGAGCACTACTTAACCTGTCATGTTGAAGTAGTCAATATAGTAGTAAGTCAAGATAAAATTCATACTGACCACTTAAGTTAAATTATGGGAATATAAGAATATAACACACAGATAAGGGAGTACAGCAAAAAGAATGAAGAGTTTTGCAGTGTCAGGTGGATAGAAGAGAAGTAGAAGTAAGAAGCTGGATTTATGTACGTTGAAATCGAAATTTCAGTTGAAAGAGTAGAGTTTGTAAAAAGCAAACTTTGATGAATAAAATTTCGCACTGTCTAACTGTTTTATTATTATTATTATTGAATGCCAACCTCTAAGTCATACTGCAAGCGCCTGAGTAAGAATGTTGCGGGTGTATCGACAGAATAACGACCTCAGCATAGTTTTGGAAACATGAACCATAGAAGTAGCAAGCGCATAAGTGCAACCTCAGTGTTACTGATTAGTCGTCTCATCAATCTAAAGAGCCGAAAGCAAAGAAAATTAAGGCACAAGCTGAATACACAGAAGCAAACAGGGAAGTAAAGAAGAGCATCAGAGCCGACAAACGAAAATATGTGGAAGATCTAGCAATGACGGCGGAAAAGGCTGCAAGAGACGGAAACTTGAGACAATTGTACGAAACAACAAAGAAGCTCGCCGGGAACTATCGTAAACCAGAACGACCAGTGAAAAGCAAGGAAGGCAAAGTAATCAGCAGCATTGAAGAACAGAGAAACAGAGGGGTAGATCACTTTAAGGAACTCTTGATTCGACCAGCTCCACTAAACCCACCCAACATCGAGGCAGCATCCACGGACCTCCCAATTAATATTGGCGCATCTACGATTGAGGAGATCAGTATGGCCATCAGACAAATCAAGAGTGGCAAAGCAGCAGGACCAGACAACATTCCAGCATAGGCAGTGAAAGCAGATGTAGAAGCAACTGCGAAAATATTTCACATTCTCTTCAACAAGATTTGGAATGAGGAACAAGTACCATCAGATTGGAA